CCTGTGAGCCTGACACTGCAGCATTGCTGGGGGTCAGGGTGCACCAGGCATGATGTTCACTGAACAACAAGAGACGAGGACCCACCACACCACTGTACTATACTCGGCTCCCCCTTATTCTGCGTGAAAAGGTCAGAGCGTTGATCCAGGCACAAGACGGTGATGACTTGGTCTAGGGTGCTGGCGACAGAGAGAAAAAGAAGTGGATCAGTTCAGTACATATTTGGAGAAATTAAATAAAACTGAATTTGGAAAACAGTGTGAAGAGTGCTGTACTAGAGTCGATATGCCAAGTGATATAGGAGGGCAGGAGAAGGAATGACCGATGCTGCCTGGAGGTGACACTGGAATTCAGCTTTAAGATGAAAAAGAGCTTGCAAGGGAGATGGAGAGAAATGGAAAAATGTCTCAAGAAGAAATGTTCTGGACAAAGGTTCCAGAGCATGGAAGGTCCCTTGCCTTTGGGGAATAACAAGAAGATACCCAGGAAGGCTTGTGGAATGAGCTGGAGAAGGGAGAGAGATCTATCCCCCCTCACTCCCAAGTAAGAATATTAAACACTCAAGACAGGCGGGAGAATAATGTTCCCCTAAGGGACATAAAACCTCCTTCGATCACTCCCTCTCAATACACCACCCTCATGTTTAGCATTAGAAAATCTCGAGTTATGAAATCTATTCTTTAGCTCCAAATGGAATATACATCAGTTGAAAATATACCCAAGCCGAAAATTATAATAGACCTAAGTAAGATCTTTTTAATAGACTATCTGCATAAAACGACATCAGTATCTCTAGACTCTCTTCTCGTTTCCTACTGGCTTTGTTCCTATGGGAATCTGTGCTTGCGAGAATATAGTTACCCTAACAAATTCCTCCTGTATGGCACTTTTAATACAGTACCTCATTTGGGGGTCTCTTCGTGTGGCTTCTAGGACACCAAACGGTCCTGGTTTTCCTTCCCCCCTCTCTCTCTGCCTCTTTCTCTCTGGCTACTCCTAATCACTCTCCTTTACTGGTCCTTCCTCATCTTCTGGACTCCAAACACTGAGTAGCCAGGACTTAGCCCTTCAACTTCTTCACCATTTACTCACTCTGCGGATGATCCCATCACCCTATCTGTAAATACCATCTGCACGCCTAACTTTATATAGACATACCAAACTTACGTCTCCAGCTCTGACCTCCCTCCCAATAACTTCCTATTCTATGTCTCACTTGGAAGGTGAAGAGGCATCTCAGAGTTAATGTATCTAATCACCGGATTATCCCTCAAACCTGATCCTCTCATAGCCTTTTTCTTTTCAGCAAATGGCAACTCCATTCTCCCAGTTTCTCAGCCAATATCCTTGTAGTACTCCTTAATTCTTCTTTTTTACCCCATATCTGATCCATTTGCAAATTCTACTCACTCTATCTTCAAAATATATCCGTAATCTGACCACTTCTAATGCTATCACCCCGTTTCAAACTATCATCTCTCTCCTAGATTATTGCAACCACCTCCCAAATGATGTCCCTGCTTTCATCCTCCATACTACAGCCAGTAATCCCATTTAAACTTAGATCACATGACTCCTCTACTCCAAACTATCCGAGTGCTTCCCACTTCACAGAGTGAAAGTCAACTGTCTACACACAGGCAACAAAAAGAAAAATAGACACACGGGATTGCATCAAACTAAAAAGCTTCTGCACAGAAAAGGAAACAATCATCAGAATGGAGAACCCACAGAATGGGAAAAGTTATTTGCAAACCATACATCTGATAAGGGGTTAATATCTAAAAATATATAGGGAACTCAACGAACACAATAACAAGAAAAATAACCCAATTAAAAATGGGCAAGCAGACTTTCCTAAAATTTCTCAAAGGTTCTCGAACCCCAAATAAGCACCATGTGACCTCAGTATGCCCTGTACCTCTTTCTGAGCAGCTCCAAGCCTGGCACTAGCAGCAGTCAGCCTCAGTTTGCGGCTTGGCCTCTCAAGGCACCTCGAAGCCCAGCACAAGTGGCAGCCATTTGCAGAGTGCTTAGTGATTCTTGCAGGGCACAGGCTGTGGCTGAACCTGGCCTGTGGCAGGGCCCCACTCAGGAGGCCCCAGGGGATTGCACAACTGGTGGCCAGCTTCAGATCAAGCTGGAGCACCACCTGGGGCCACATCCAAGGACAACACACCCAAAGGACAGACTGAGCAGACTGATAAAGTGAATCCTGCTCCGTAATGTCAGCCCCTCACAACCAATCAGCCCAAGGGTCAGTCCCTCCTACTGATGTGCAAACAATTAAGGCTCAATTATAACAGGAGAGCGCACACAACCCACACAAGGGATGCACCTGAGCACCCAGCACAGGTGACCAGGGAAGTCTGTAACGCTGGACATCTACTACATAAGGCCACTCTACTAAGACTAGGAGACATAGCAGCTCCACCTAGAAACAAACACAGGGAAGCAGCCAAAATGGGAAGATAAAAAAAATGTCCCAAATGAAAGAACAGAGCAAAGCACCAGAAAAAGAACTAAACAAAATGGAGACAAGAAATCTACCAGATGCAGAGTTCAAAACATTGGTTATAAGGATACTCAATGAACTAATGGGAAGAGTAGGTGAACTCAGTAAGAACTTTACCAAAGAGCTAGGGAACATATAAACGGAGATAGAAAACATGAAAAAGGACCGGTAGGAAATAAAGAATACAATAACTGAAATGAAGACTACACTAGAGGGAATCAACAGAGTAGAGGAAGCAGAGGATCGAATTAGCGATTTACAAGATAAGGTAGCAGAAAACACTCAATCAAAACAGCAATATGATCCAGCGATCCTACTTCTGGGTAGATATCTGGTGGAAATGAAATCAATATCTCAGAGATATTTTCATTTCTATGTTCACTGCGGCATTATCCATAGTAGCCATAATATGGAAACAATCAAAGTATCCATCAAGGAAGATACATAATAATATACTATATGTAATATATAGTACATATGTAATATTTCATTATTATGAAAAAGGAAATCCTGGCATTCGCAACAATGTAAATGAAACTGGAAGAGATTTTGCTAAGTAAAATAAGCCATAGAAACACAAATACTGTATGGTATCACTTAATGTGTGGAATCTTTAAAAAAAAAAAAAACTCAGGCAAACAGCAGAACTGTGGTTGTCAAGGGCTGGGAAAGTGGGGGGAAATAGGGAGATGTTGGTCAAAAGATACAAAGTTGCAGTTGTGTAGGCTGAATAAGTCTGGAGATGGAATGCACAGCATGGTGACCAGAGATAATAGTGTACTGAATATTGGAAATTGCTGAGAGTGGATCTCAAGTGATCCCATCACACACCAAAAAGGAACTATGTGAGATGATGCATCAATTAGCTTGACAGTAGTAATCACGTCACTGTGTATGTTTATCAAATCATCATGTTGTATATTTTAAATGTATACAATTTTTATTTTAAAATATGTAAATTAATTAAGAGGCCAACAGTCAACAGGAGACTTAATCCTTCTCCAAAATACTCAGGACATTTGTAGAGTCTCAAAGTATCTCCCCCAAAATATTTATGAATGACTGTGGCTTTTAACAAATGTCCAAGAATTCCCTGATACTCTTTTCACCAGGAAGTGGACCTTACTTCTCCTCTCCTTTGAGTGTGTTCTAAACCTACTGACTCACTTATAGGGAACAGAAGATGGGAAAGAAAAACAAGAAACCTCATGGTGGAGAAATCTGACAGATGCTCCCCCCACAACCATGTTGAAATCGAGATCGTGCGATATTATATGAGCTGAGGACAAGGACCACGTCACCTCTGTAGTATTCTTCCCAGTCTAGTCATAAGAAAACATCAGACAAATTCAAATTGAGGGAAATACTGCAAATACCAAGCCGTAGGCTTCCCAAGTGTCAAGGTCACGAAAAGCAAGGAGACAGGATGATCAAATGTAACAATGCAATGGAAGCTCGGATTGGATCCTACAACAGAAAAGCACATTAATGGAAAAACTAATAGAATCCAATTAAAGGCTGTAGGTTAGTTCGTAGCATTACACAAATGCTTAATTTCTTAGTTTTGACAAATGCACTATGTTGATGGAAGATGTTAACATTAGTGGAAGCTGGGTGAGGGTGTACTGGAACTCTGTACTACCTTTGCACTCTTCTGTAAATCTAATATTATTTCAAAATTAAAAGTTTTCCAAAAGTGACTCTGTTATCACTATTGAGATAAATTGCTGATGATCAACCTAAATATTATCGTGGACTTGTGGATATGGGACAGGAATATGTGTATCATATCATTTCTTAGTGATTCTTACCTTCAATATTTTTTATCAGTGTGATGTCTCTATGGTTGTCACAGAGACCTAATATATAAGATAATGCTTTTCTTATGAAAAATTTTGGTTTTTCATGGTAATCTATGTATACACATTGATATATTGTATCTATATATCACAATGCCATGTACGACTTACTTCAAAGTGTTCTTCCGAAAAATAATTAAGAAATCCAGGTAAAGAGGGATAAAAATATTTTAATTGTTGAAAGACATTGGTAAATTGAGTAATTTACATTGAAATATTAGGTGGATATACATGGACATTATCAAATTAAGAACTTTCCAAATATCCCACTAACCATCAGTCACAAGTCCTTCAAAAATAGTATAGAATTCACATGATGAGATGCTGTGATCAATCAAAGGCAGAATGGGAGACCCAATGGCTATAAAGTATTTGTAGTTACAGAGCCTTAGACTAAAGAAAAAAGGAAGTTAATCGAAATGTATACGTGATATGCAAATTTCAGTGATTTATTTTTAAATATTGCAATGTAGTCCATTGTTCCTAATAAAGGAAATTCTGACATTTAAATAAAGCTGAAAACCAAATAGTAAAAA